TGTCGATGCACGTCTTTAATTAAACTAATGATGACGACGCGCGACAGTGATACAAATGCACAATGCACGTAACTAGAGATGCATCGCTGAAATCGTGTCCCTATTAACAAAATATTATTCATAGGGGAGACCGGGGAGAAGTGGGACATTAATTTGACATCAACTTTGTAAATTCGTAAAAAATAGAATGTTTAAGATTTAAGTAAATTGATTGCATTCACTGGGAAACATTTTATTTCTTCTTCATTCATTTTTATTTCAACTATCTCCCACACAAAAAGTATAACAGATACATACATAAAAAAATGTTTCTGCATAATTAAGATGACTTCACAGTTCACTGACAGCCGGAGGTAAACGGCCTGAACATTTCACATCGCTGAATAAACGGCAAATTGAATTGGAGTACAATGCCAAAAAAAAAACATATTTTCGACCCCAGCTCAATATCTCCGAGACAGGCAACTGGAAAAGGGAACCGCTCGGTTGTGACGTGCCCCGACTAAATTCATGAGAAAATACCTATGCAGAAACGAAATTGGTTGTCCAATCGGTCATCCAGATATTGTAGGAGTCCCACTTCTCCCCGCCCCAGTTATCCCCACTCTCCCTACCTATCTGAACCCTCAAGTAGTTTTGCGTAACCAGTTCATTACTGTTCACGATTGGAACATTTTCCCGTTACAATGACAACTTCATGTAATTCATGTTATCTATGAATATGTTACAGGCAAAGTGAAAACTCGGGCATTTTGCAAAATGCCTAGGCAATTTGCAAAATGCCTGACCCGCCAGGCATTTTGCAAAATGCCCAGGCAGTTTGCAAACTGCCTGACCCACCAGGCATTTTGCAAACTGCCTAGGCATTTTACAAAATGCCTGACCCGCCAGGCATTTTGCAAAATGCCTGGGTTTCCATATATTCCACCGTTTTTGTTGACTACAGCCGTTGATCATAAACGTTCCACCGTGACTGACCCCACAACACATTTGACATGTGTTGTGTTCACATTGACACATTCCACGGTCACGAATACGGGTGTCGCGAAATTGTTGCGGGATGTTGTACTGGTGTCCCGAAATGTATTGCATCGTAGTTGCGTCAGTGTTCTCCAGCACCTCGCTGACAAGTTATCAGCTGCCACATGGTCTGTCCCCGCGGCACCTGGTGAAGCTCAAATAGGCCGCCTCTGTAGCCCATCATGCCCCAAACGAGAATCCCCAGTGCCCAGTGGGTGCTTCACCGTCTCGACGGCGCAGCGCCTCTGAGCTGCTGTTGGCCCAGAACTGCTTGTCGGGACGGTTAGTGACTAAGAAGAGCTCTAATAGCCGTTTTCACGACGGGCTGTCCGGTGAGTGCACCTAATTTGACCAAATATGCACCTAATCTCTCTTAATACAGCAAATATCTTTATTTTATGAATTTATTTCAGTGTTTTAACCGATGATGCTCTCTGATAATATGACAAAGGAGGTATATAAGCAATTAGTACAACCCTAGCTGATAGCTACTAAGAGACACACTGAACCTAATTTGACCAAATATGCACCTAATCTACACCGTGAACCAAATGTGTACCAGATGGCCGTCGTGAAAACGGCTAATATCACCTCACGGCCTCATCATTGAAAAGTCTGAATATCTAGTCCTGAATGGTCCAGATTTGGTGGGTTTTGTCGAAATCCAGCTGCATCACTTATGGATGACGGTAAGTCAGGGTTGCAGCCTGAGGTTGAGCGGCTTCAGCTTCAGGGTAAAATCTTCAGATACCGGGGGATGGCCGATTTAGATGCCGAGTGCCCTGGACCAGATGCCCTGGTGCCGGACCCGTTAAAATTACATCCATTCAGCACTCAGGAGGGACATGTAGGGACAAGACCGCGCCAACCGCGTATCAAGTTCGTGACACTCTGTATACCTATACGTTTTGCGTCAATTCTGTCGAGATGGAACCAACGCTGAATGGACTTGAGCGACCGTCTCCGTACCTTTCGTATATGCGGAGTTGTAGCCGTGTGTATAAAAGCTGCGATGTCCAGTATTCTGCCCTGGTGGGCAGCTGTTCCGGCAGAGACGATTGATAATGTACCTACCTAAACGTGTAACAATCAAATTTTCGTAAATTGGAAGAGTATTCTTTTCTGATCAATATCCACCCATAGTATTTCCAAAAAGCCACCAAGAGCTCTTAGAAACAGTACAATCATTGTATCGAGCGCATGTTTACCCACGAAACCACGCCCGGTGCTCGGCACCCGACGGCCGCTGGGGCTCAGTGACCTGAACTCGGCGGCGCTACCCGGAGAACGCAGCGTCCCCTCACTTGGTGCGCATTGACAGCGATTAACTTTTGTAAGCTGCAGTTACAAATGATGCTTACCTATACATCGTCGCTAGTGCGAGTTTGATGTCAGGCATTTTGCAAAATGCCTGGGAAAATATTTCAGGCAGTTTGCAAAATGCCTGGTGGGTCAGGCAGTTTGCAAACTGCCTGGGCATTTTGCAAAATGCCTGGCCGGTCAGGCATTTTGCAAACTGCCTAGGCATTTTGCAAAATGCCCGAGTTTTCACTTTGCCTGTAACAAATATATTTATCATCTATACCTATTCATATCTATGAATATTCATGTTATCTATGCATGGTATACCTAATTGACGAATTTAGTTGCTGCGCCTCATGCCAGGCGTCATACATTGGCTCCACAGTCCACGTACATATATCACCGCTTCATTCACATAATGGCTCAACACTAAACAAAGGCAGATCCCTCGTCGTACTGGACTGATGTCATCAACTCCAGCAGTTTCGTCCATTAGAGATCATGCGTTATCATGTGACGCTCCGTTTACGATCGATAATTTTGAAATTATTGTTACGAACAGCTCGTTTCCTGATAAAATAATTTTAGAATCACTATCCCTTCAACTTTCGGTTGCGACCCAGTGGCGCGGGAACCGGGGGGCTAGCGGGGGGCTGAGCCCCCCCCCCCAGCCCAGCTTTTCGGCTGGGGGGGCTCGTAATGTATTTGAGCCCCCCCCCCCCAGCTGGAGGAATTGGAATCGGAAATCTACCAACACAATTTCATAGATTCATACATAGGCGTGGGAACCGGGGGAGGGGGCAGTGGGGGAAGCTTGCCCCCACAACTCTGCGGCCGTGGGGGCGGTGCCCCACAACGTTTCATGAGGCCAGGAACCGTTGGGCAGCTTGTCCTCCCCAAATTAGGGGTTGTGGGTCACAAAGGAAGAAAGCATGTAAGTGAAAAATCCACCTATTTCACTGGCTCGGCAACTCATTTGGCAGATTAAAACCTTTACTCCAGGTTGCCAAAACGGTAGTTTCTTCACTCAGCTGAGACGGAATACCTCACTTTTTGAAAATATTTTCTTTTTTTTTTTGTTGAAAAGGCCAAGGTCTGAAAAATAAGTGGCCTAAAACCGGTGAGAAAACTAGATTTGGGGGTACCCTAGGCTGATTTCTATTATGGTTCAGCCCCCCCCCCCCCCAGTCTGGAAGAAGTTCCCGCGCCACTGTAATGCGACCAAAATAAAACGACACTTCATCGGCATATTTTCTCAAAGCCTTTAATGAAGTGTTTTGGCGGTATACATCGGCTTAATTAAGTTGTAGATTATTTCTATGTTCCCAGTTCCCACTCAATTGCCAATCCTGCCACCTAAAAGCTATTAAATTTGTTGGTGTAGGTACCTTAACCTACTTCACAATCGTTCAAAAGGCATGAACTGAAGAATGTTCTCTGTTTGATTTAAACGGTAAAAAGACGACGCCCTGTTACTTTACCACCGTCTATGTATTGTTGTGCCTTCACTTTTGATTGACGCATGAGCCACACCTCACGTCTCAACAACTGGGCGAACCAACAAGAGAAGGTCAAACTTGAATTCGAGTCCATGATAACGAAGTTTGTTATATTTTTTGTTGTTTGTGAGCAGCTGCCAGCTCAGGACCTAACCGCAGAATCGGATCGGATCCGAAATCGGCGGACGTTAGGCATAAAGACTCAGATCCAAAATCAGAGGACGTTCCAGGCAATGGCCGATCTCGGTGCCTTGCGGGCTGCCTAGCTCACAGGCAGACACGCTGTACCTACATGTAAAACGGCCGGCCAAAATGGTCTCTAATCAGATTCACTCGCGTGTTTTGCAGCGTCACGTCACATCAGTAGCGGCGGAACACCTTCTTAAGGGGTCACTGCCGACTTTTGGTTCCATTCTTTCCATGCAACGCCGTTAAAATGCGAAAATCAAAGGGGGCACGGTGCCCCGGTGCCCTCCCCGTTCCGCCGCCTATGCGTCACGTTGTTTCGGGGCAGTTGCCAATAGCTTTTCTCGATAGGTAATATTTCATTAAAGCATTAGAACTTTTAAACGGCACCGGCAGCATAAAAAAGACAAGACTGCAAAGGCGACGGAGAGCGTCATCGTTTTAACAATTGCAGCGGGCATAAAACACTTTTTCTTCGTTCTATGGGCAACACAACGATTCGAAGTTGTTTTGTTTGTTGCCGCAGTACCCTTTCCCTCCAAAGAAATAAGAAAAGTAATTGAGTTACCGCTGACGGACCACACCAGCATTTCATATGTCAGACTGTACACGGAATAAAATGCCTATGGGCTGCCGTAACGGGAGCACTGGCGCTGTTCAGTGGGTGAATGGTCTGTGTCAGCGACAGCCCCCACCCGCGACTGGGGCGTCCGCCAAGGTCCCCCTGCGGTCCAGGTGCATTGACTTTTCCTGACATGTTCGCATGCAATATTTTTTTACTGGCCTCTCGAACCCTATTGCGAGTTAGATGAATCCCCTCGACCCCGGTGGCCTTTCATTTTCCGTTACCTTTCCAAAATTACTCAGCCGTTTCGCAATCCCCGATCCAGAAAGCCCCACGCTGAAAGAGGATAACATTGGCAGGGTCAGTTCGGGCGCGAGTATAGCGGTGAGGTGCCGGCCGGCCGGACCCCAGTCAGGCTCCGGCGGGCGGGCGGGTCGGACGGGCGGCGCGACTGGCAGCGACAGCGGTGGACACGGCTGGGCGGTGACTGGTGTGGAGCTAGGGTGGGGCGACAGGGAACTGAGGGAGACAGCGGCAGTGCAGCACTGCAGTCCGCCCGGATCACCGGAAGACGCACTACCCCGACAAGATCTCATCCGAGACCTCTTCCTCTACCTCACAATGGCGCCTCGCAGCTCTCTGACCGTCCTCACCCGCACTGCGGCAGTCCTCTGCTGTCTATCCGTCGTCACCGCAATCAACCACGTCACCCAGCAGGGCGGCAACCAGGACCCGAACCAGGGCGTGTACCGGCGCTGTGCCGACGGCAGGAGCGTGGCCGTGCCGTGTCTGCAGCCGACCACCGACTGCACGGACCGCTCCGTGCCCAGCCGCATCCCCGGCTCGTGCGTGCGCTGGTATAGCTGCTGCAAGGAGCCGCCGCGCGACGTCGACTACGTGCGGTCGCCGGAGGAGAAGGCAGCGCGCAGAGGCGAGATGTACCAGAAGGCCGTCGGCTGGCTGGTCGCCGGCGCCAGGGCCATCAAGACCATGTGGAACTCGTTCCTGGACAAGGTGCGTGGCGAGAAGGCCTCTGGAGCGCAGCATCCGCCGTATGGCCATCATATACCCCCGGGGGCAGAGCCCCACGCCTGGCGCGGGCCTGTCTACGACGAACAACATCAGGGTTACGGAAACCACCGGAATCCTGGTAGCCAGCAGCCGAACGGAGTGTACGGATACGCGAACAGCAAGAGCTACCAGAGTTCCCCGATTAAGAACTGGGTGACCGACTATAAGTCGTCGACCAGTGGGTACGGGTCACCCACTAAGCCGTCGAGGGGAGGTTATGGTCGGCCCAGCTGGCCCCCGAACAGCTTCACGTCAACGTCGAGCACTAAGTTCCCGAGCGGGTCTGGCTTCTCCTCCCGACTGCCGACGAAGCCGAGTCACTTCTCCACGCGTGTACCGACGGTAGCCGGCGACCTAACGCCTCCGAGCCAATTCATGCCAAGTTCTCCGACTACGCCGGACAAAATGACCCCTAGCCGCTTCCCGACGCGCGTGCCGACTATTCCTGGCGATTTGGTGCCGCCGTCGACGGACTCGGCCTCTGAGCGCACCACGGCGACCACCCGACGGCCACTGACGGGAGCAGACGCTATCGTGGCCGAGGCTGCGCGCCGCTGGCTGCCCTCCGATTGCGGCCGACTCAGTCCGCTGAGCAGTTTCAGCGGGCTGGGCCGCCGCCGCCGACGCCGGGACATCACCGGCGGCCACCCGGCCGACCGCTCGCGCTGGGCCTGGATGGCCGTCATCGGGATGCGTCAGCCCGGCGAGAACTGGGCCGAGAACCGCGGCCAGGGTCCTGTCTGGATCTGCGGCGGCGCGGTGGTCACCCCGCGGTTCGTGCTGACGGCGGCGCACTGTGTCGGGGGTAGGGCGCTCGACAAGCTGGTGGTGCGGCTGGGCGAGTACAACCTGTCGTCGACGACGGATGGGCCGCACCAGGACCGGCTGGTCAGCGCCGTCACGCTGCACCCGCAGTTCGTCAGCCGACAGAACGACGTGGCGCTGCTGCGACTGGACGTGCCGGCCGAGTTCGGTCTGCTCGTGCGGCCCGTCTGCCTGCCGGTGCCGGGCGCGCCGGTGCCGCCGCCCGGCCTGCGCCGAGTCGCCGGCTGGGGCCGACTCTCCTTCGAGGGCGCCGGCGCCGCCGTCCTGCAGGAGGCCAAGCTGACACTGGTGCCGGCCGACGCCTGCGAGTCCATCTACCGACGTCTCTCCAGCTTTGGCGAGTCGTTCCCGGGCGGCGGCTTTCTGGGCACCAAGCTGTGCGCCGTAGACCCGAGCACACGCGGCGCAGACGCCTGTCTGGGCGACTCGGGCGGCCCGCTGACCGGCCTGCGGCCCGACGGACGGTTCGCGCTCGTCGGTATAGTCTCGCTGGGCGTCGGCTGCGGCGACCCCGACTTCCCGGGCGTGTACACACGGGTGGAGAGCTATGTGCCCTGGATAGTGGCAGTGATAGCGACTGCAGAGGCTGAGGCTGCCGCCGCGGCCAAGACCGTCTAGCTTAGGGTTGCCATACATGTAAAAACGCAACCTTGCATGGTGTGCGTGGTACTCGTATACTACATACCTGGCACAGTTCTAGGTTGAAGTAAGGAAAACAGTTTGATGTGATGCAGGGGCATTTACGTTGTCAGTCCACTGCATAAGTGGCCTGACAAATAACAAAATAGTTAAACACGCTTATGTTATTACTGGTTAACGCGGGCGTCACTTGGTAGGTATGCTGAGTTGTAAGCAATCTAATCGTGTCTAGCAATGCCCGTGGGCAAGCGGATACATAAAGCATTATGCCATTATGGATTGAATGTTATCTGACCAGGTATGATGATGAACCTTGCCCTTGACGAATACATGGGTGCATTTCATTACCAGTTCGACTGCTAATGCCAAGTTACCCAAGGCCAGGTGCACGTCAGCGCGGACTTTCACGCATGATACATCTCGTATGTCCGTTACATAACCTCTCAACGCCGAGCTGCATGCCCACGCATATTCCATTATCCGAACTTAATTTCGTCCGATTGGCAAAACGCGGAAACCCTCTAATCCTAATCCGACTCTCCCCAATCAGCGGAAGTTCAGTCGATTCGCCGTCGATTCAAAGAAATGCACGAATCTCACTCGTGCAAACCAGACATTCGTGCACAGAGAAGTGTGACAGGAATAAGCCATTATCACAGGCCCTTTCTCTACGCATGAGATTAGCCGTCTTCATTTAGCTACCCAAGTGTGACCAAACGATGGCGATGTAACATTTACCGACAAGGTCGAAACACGTGGCCATTTATTGTTATTTGTTACAATTAAGCTCCACTTTGTTGTTGTAAGGGAAAGTATTGTTGCACATCATATTCGTTGAAGGCGGCGGAAAGTGAGCTATTTTTCAATCGTGCTATCGATTCGCAATAAATATTGACGGACGAACTCAATTATTGGACGAGATTCACGAACACATCCTTGAATCACCGCCGACACACCAAAAACAGACGGCTGTCATTTATAATGCTTCATGTTGACGATCGATAGGACAAAAACGACGGTGAACTCATACCCAGGATCACAAATCCACTGATTGTTTCGTGCCAAGCAAAAAGCCGGAATATCGTCACGATAACACAGTTCATTGGACACTGTACTGCACGATTTCAACAACTGGTGCGGCGCCCGTCTGCGCATGCGCGGGCCGACATAACACCAACACGCCACCGCCGAGACGATGGCCGACTGGTGAGATTGCATCCAATAAAACACGCACACTGAAAGACTAGAGCGGGGCGCCTCTGGCCGGACGGCGCGTCTCGCGGGCGGCTCTATCCCGACACGGGTCAGCCGGTGAGCTCCTTGGCCGCGCCAGTGTCTCACAGAGACGCGCGGCTCCGTGTGCAGAACGACCCCCCTGAACAGCACAACCACCGGCGGCCGACCCGGCAGGCGCGGCGGCGGGGCGGCGGCCTCCCTTCGCTCAGCGGCGGTGCCGCACGCCGGCGGACGCCGCTGTGTGTCTCTTCACAGTAAAACGTGTCGCCGCCCGCCCCGCCGCCAGTACCGAGTCGGCCGCCCCCCGTGCGTCACACGAACACGGTGTATGCCCCCGGCGGCCGCCGCTGCCGCCCGAGCGTGAGCGGCGCCAGCGATCACGACCGCCGCTCGTTCCCACGGCTATTCGTTGTCAGGTAAGGACTTCCTTTTGTTGAACATCCGCCAGCGAAAACCCCAGCCCCGGGCTGGCGACACACAACAATTGTACCCTAAACCCCCAAAACACACAGACAGGCACACGCGCTGACACCAGCATTTGAGGCGCGCCCAGCGGTGCCGGATCGCCGCGCCCTGGCCCCTACCTGCCGCTGAGCTCGCCTGGCCGCGGCCGGTCCGAACGGGCCGGGTCAGGTGGCCAGCGGGACAGGCCCGAGCTTCCACAGCCCCGAATATCGGCGGCTGCGGCAGCTCCGTACACTGGCAGGGCTTAGTTGAGGTAGCCTCGGCACTGGGGCATGCCACACAGGCAGGTAATCTTATCGTCCTCATACGGAAACTTGTAGTCGTATGTGATTTCTTCGTTGACGCCGATAGGCTCCTTTGAATAGATAACGATTTTCTTCTGTCCTTCGACAGCTACAATCTTGGCGTAGCAGTTGGGCTGTGAAACGGAGGGATATACGCGTTAATGGCTGCAGTGGACATGTGTTATTTGTGCGTTCAAATCGTGTGAAACGGAACCGGATGATGTGCCACTCTCATGTAATACATGCTGTTCTATTTTCAGGATAGCACCTCTGTCCCATAACGATATAAAAACGAGTTGGAAAATAAATTCTGCCAAAGTTTACCTTCCCTGTGGAAATAAGCGGCTAAGTGTTGGCGAGCCGCGGTTATTCATGTAATACAGATCCAGGAATATGGCATAGGTGCTGCCCAACCGCTGCAGCGAAGGAAAGGTCTGCAAAATTACATTAAATCGAAAAGAAGCGGCGCGGCGCGGCCGACCGACCGCAGTGAGCAAGCCGTCAGCACGGAGCCCGGCGGCGCTCTGAGCTCACCTGGCAGCTGTGGTTGATGAAGCGCGCCAGGTTGCCGCACTTGGTGGCGTCGATGATGTTGTCGCGGTCGATCCTGAACAGGTACGAGCTGCCGATGCCCTGCCGCTCGTACACCAGCTCGCGCTGGTCGGCCACCGACTGGCGCACGTGCTGACCCACGTACTCGATCACCATCTCGTCAGCAGCGATCGGCTCCAGAGCGAACAGGCCCCAGTCGTGGATGGCCGACTTGCCAAACTTGAGCTGCTTTTTCCGGAACTGTGGGCGGGAAGACAAACAGCGGACATCAATTGCAGTGGCTGTCCACCGCAAACGAGCCACACAGGGATACATGTCACGGCAGAGTTTCCCGTTGACTGTTCATTGTTTGCAACGGTCTCACGCGGGTGGGGGCGGAAAGATGACCCGGGAAACTACAGCGGGACAGAGGTGAGGCCACCCCGGGATCAGTCGTGCAGATACACCCAGTACTGGTGTAGGAGAGAGCGTATACCGGTCCTCAGCTACACACAGCAACAGTGTGAGCTCAGAGGATCGGTCCACAGAGAGATCCAGCAACGGTGTAGGAGAGGGAAGAAGCGAGATTACACACCGGCTCTCAGAGGCACACAGTAACGGTGTAAGCTCCGAGGATCAGTTACCAAAATACACTCAGTGCCGGTGACAGGGAAGGACGAAGAAGCTACACCGGTACTAAGATACATACATACATACCTACATAAGATACGTACCCACTACGGATCTTGGGGGGACGATGAGGTTACACCGATACGCAAATATGTACACACAGTACCGGCGTCTTGGAGGAACGGCTTTTAACAACACAAAGAGGTATGTTTAGCCATTATCAGAGGATCGTGATAAGACGTAACGAAAATAGCACCAATCGTGCATAGTTAGTGGTCAGAGCATAATCGCCAGGAAACGACTGTTTCTAATTATGTCAACTTGCTGCATTATCTTCTTCCACCTGAACTGGCACAGAACCCGCTACATCAGTGATTTCCCCAGATCATTGGCGATTGGATTTGGCATGACACGCCGTGTTAGGTAAGTCGACAGAGGTGATTATTCGTTCTCACGATATGTCGGGAACTGCCGAGCCGAGGAGAATGAGGCCGAGCACGGCAAAATTGGATTACACGACCCCCTGGAACCATCGCACGTCAGTGCCGCACGACCCACTGGATTTGTCAATGCAGAGGGTGGCCACTGCACAGTGGCCCTTTTTCAGAATTAGCACGCATTAATTCCCACATTACCTGAAAGTGGTGCTAGACATCACCACGTGATCAAGGACGTGTTCCCTGCCAATGCAAAGAGAAGAAAAGAAACAAACTGCCCAAGGAGATTCGGCCCAACAGCGACAGGTCGCTCCGCCCAAGATTTGGCGCACGTTCGCACGGCTCGCCCGCCGGCCCAGGCCGCTCCGAGCGCAAGTGTGGCGAGCCCGCCAGCCGACCACGCTGCACTGACCGCCAGGACGCCCCAGGGCGTCACGTGACCGCATCTACAGCTGTTGCCAGCCACCGTTAGTCGGCCCCGGCCGGGCAGCAACTAAGGTCAGCGCGACGCGAACAGTACAAACACATAGGCGCTTTTGACGTTAGATCTTAAGCCGACTACGGGACTTGTGCGGCTTGGACATCAAACGCGACAAGAAATCGGACAGTTTTTCTTGAGCACAGCGTTATGCCTACATGACATTTCAATAAGCACATCTTATGGCAAAAGTCAAGCCACATTTAGGCGCACACCAGGTGACACCAGCTTCGAGCCAGGTCAATGAGCTTAGTCGTATCGAACAGGAGCCACAGCCGCTCGTGGACTGAACTGGCTCACGTTATCCACCGTAGAAGCAAAATGGCGCGGTGCCCTTTGGTGGACATGGTCAGAAGAGATCGGCGATTCGAACGATGTATAATAAGACATGTTCCAGAGTGTTCTACTTAACATAAAGCTTCATATGTATGCCGCCATCTCCAGTTGATAATTGTCCTGTTATTGTGTCCACAATATTCGGCAAAAGTGGTCTATTTAAGTTTATGCAATGAAAATTGTGGTTTCTAGGGCTTCTACGTATACTCAGCTTCACAGTCATGCCACTAATTTTTAATATTTTCTCACCGAAAGCCTTACAAATTGATGTTCATCTCACCCTACTTTTTAGGGTCCGCCGGTGGTGTCCGCGCGCCTCTCGACAAACTTCGATTTTGCGGTCAGTTTTACCAATGATAATTATTTTTTAGGAGGTAAAAATGGCACCATCGGATAGTTTGGCATGTTTTGCACACGATTAGACTGCTTTTTACTCAAAAGAAGAGAAAAAATATTTTGAATTTATGCGTGCTAATTCTGAAAAAGGGCCACTGTGCATTGGCCATCAGGAGCATGAAGCTGATGATTGGACCAAGCGTTACTGAGAACGGTTCTTGGTTTCATTTGCTCTTCACCTATATCAGCTCTTCTCACGCATCACAGCAGTACTTTGTTCACGACTTTGGCTAGACTCGTTATATCCCGGCTAAGACACGTTGGCAACGTAGTTAAGTCGTTGGTGTTTAATGACAATGCCTCGTATGGGATGCTCCGATCAAACTGCTACTTACAAATCCATGACAGTTGGCTCATGAGTCAAATGACACGATTTATCCCTCCTTCCACTGTGTATGAACGAGCGGATGATGACCAACACATGTGAGTGACTATTTCACAACATATACGTAGGTAAGTACTCCAGATTGAATAGCGCCCAGTTTTTTTTTTTTACATGTAAGTAATGCCAAGATGATAATAAATGACCTAGTTTTTGCAATACGAAGGAAAAACCTTTGTGTAGACAAATGTCATGACATACAGCGCAAATCTAATCTCAATCTAAACAGAGTTCTGACGGGATGATCTCAACGCTATACAAATGGACCGAACTTATGAAATGCAATTCGTTTAGAGTTGCTGTTAGTTATTTCGCAAGTCTTCCCGAGCTATAAATAAAAGAATGGGACGTGAAGGTTGGTTAAAAAGGTGATGGGTACAAGGGTCTATCGTTCCTCTGTCAGCACGCAACAGTCTCCCCATAGACAGAAAAGCTTACGTGCCCTCAATTGCGTGGGTCTGCTGTTAAACGGAACGTTTTACGTGTTCATACACAGGTCGCTGGTCGACCACACATGTTCATGAGAATTATGACAAAACGGCTCGCACAAACAAGGAGGTCTAGAACAATTAAATCAGTCCCCTCACTGATGGCCAGATAGCCAGGTGAAGCTAAGACGGCCTTGGGGTTACCATGTCAGTAGAGTGCGCACCAGCAGCTTGGTTGAACATTGAACAGCTTGGCTGAACACCGAACATCTAGAATGAACAAGAAACAGTTTGCTTGGTTGAGCACTGGAGTGTTTTATTGGTTGCATACCACCAAGGCTATTGACGGCTCGTATGATGACATTTACAAGAACTATGCTTTGATTTTGAATGCACTCGAATTATCAAATACCTACGTCTTATATAGAGGAAAAACGCACTTTTTGCGCCCTACACATATCAATTTTGTCATATTCGGAGCACTGATCAATGGCCGAAGTAGCTCTAACACGGTGAGTGAGAGGATGGACCGACAAAGACTGCCGGTTCAGTGCGTTACGTCACGCGTCCATACGCGCCGAGGTGCAATACCCATGACTTCTAGGCAGAATGCATATGTTGCGGGCCAAGTGCGAAGGCTAGTCCATTCGCGAATGGCCTAGTCCAAGTGCGATAACGCACTTGGACTAGGCCGTTTGCGAATGGACTAGTCCATGTGCGTTATTGCAGTTGGCCTAGGTCGTTTGCGAATGGACGGGCGTTTATGCTCCCAGTCCAAGTGCGAAGTCAGGCCAAGTGCGAAATATCCAGCAAAGTGACGTCAACTTGGCAAGTCAACTTGGCATGTGCAAAGTCCCGCACCGTCCCGGTAGGTACACCACACCAGAGCAGAATGAATCGAGCGCCACAAACTCGACCAAGGTCAGGTCGGGTCATCAGCGGGGAGCCCGGAGCACGGTACTAATGGTCTTCGCACACCACGCGACTATCCGCTGTTCGAAGGTCACGGGGATATTTGACCTCCCCAGATCCAGATCGGTGGCCGAAGCCTGGCCAGCGGCAACACGTTGCTATAATTTCCGCGTTGTGCAGGGTTCAGCGGAAAGTCGCATCCCGAATGGACCAGGTGTGTGGAGACCTTAACCCAGAGTTGCGCCAGCTCGTAGATCTTCTCCGGAGAACAAACTAAACATATAGACGCAGTGGCGTCGCCACGGATTTCCGACTAGGGGATCTGGTCGGACGGTCAGTCAAAGTAATCCCCACCAAATACTGAAAAATCCTCGGATTTAGACAATTTTATTTTGAGAATGCACCAAAATCGTTTTTAAAATATTTTATTTTATTCTTGATCGATTTTCGTGGCCAAAAGTGTGTGTGTGGGGGGGGGGAGGGGGAGGGCGTCGGACCGGCATATTTTCAAGAATGTGTGTGTGTGGGGGGGGAGGGGTCCGGACCCCTCCGACCCCCCCCCCCCCGTCGGCGACGCCCCTGCATCGACCAGCGGTCCCCCATTCATTCGGAATCGTACCCCAATCCGAGGATCCATGCTTCCGGCGGCTAAGTGCAACGCCACAAACCCGTCCGTTCGCAAACGGCCTAGGCCATTCGCGAATGGCCGGCCATTCGCAAACGGACTAGTCCGTTTGCAAACGGACCGCCATTCGCAAACGGCCTAGTCCATTCGCGAATGGACTAGTCCGTTCGCAAACGGACTAGCCTTCGCACTTGGCCCGTAACACATATAATTCTTGATGGCAAGACGAATATCGGACCAACCACCGACAATTCTGGTGAAAGGTGCAACAGCTAGGTATGTGCCACATCATCATCATCCTCGACTCATGTGCCGAATGCATGGCGAAATGGTGAAACAGCAAGGCTGACTGAAACCTGTTCTGAAATGGCTGAGCCCCGCGGAAAAAGACTGCAACGAACTAGACCGTACGGAGTCGCGATAAACGCTTTTTTGACGTGACGGCGAAAGTGATTGTTGTCATGTCATTTGTAAGCAACAAGCATAGAGAGTGGCAACTCATCATTAATCTGCATCTCAAGCACGCGAGATGAACAACCGAAATTTGAGTGTCTCACTTGGAGCCAAACGTCTCATACTACCAATCACAGTACTTTTACCAAAACAGACATAGCTACGATCATTGGTTCACTTTTAG